TGGGCACCTGCAACCCACACAGTATGTTTACCCTTTATTACCGTATGTTAAATCACCAAATACGACATTCACCGGTTTTATAACTTGGCTGAGGCTATCGACCGCTGAAATCAGAGAAGCATTAAACTGGTTTTAGTATACTCTCCTCGCATTGACACTGCTTTTTCTTAATTTCCAAAACCCTCTAGGTTTCTCGTTCATCTCATTTCTTTTCGAAATAAGTGGAGAGGTAGGAACATCGTATTTTAAATTAATAGTTTCTCAATACCACCGGTTTGTACTTAAAATCGCAATAGAACAACTTAATTTCAAAGCGATTTCTTTGCAGGAACAGCTTTTTGAGGTAGGTCGCACTTTTGTTTGATGTGTTAGCAGACATTTCTCTTCTCGCCATTGTGACTAACGAGGTCGTTGTATAATTTAAGGTGTCTTTATTGTTATACAATGCCTTCGGTTCACGTCCAGAATTAGATGCAGTGACTTATGTAATTACAGAAGGATTATAACTGAATGTATGGTAAGGTAGATTTAACGATTCTTCGTGCGTAGATATGCGACAAATTGTTCGACAGCCTCAACAGCAATGGCTGCATGCGCTGTTGGTGGGTAGAGCGCGATAACCAGACTCTTTCCGCTGTTGCCAATAAGCAGACCACCCGGTTGGTTGAGTCCGTCCTCAAAACGTAGACTCTTTGTAATCTGTTCTCGAGCGTATATCGAGAATCTGTCAGCACGCACGCAAATGTAACTCCCACCACACCAGCGGAAATTCCTCTGTTTCATCAGCACGGTCGGCGAGTTGAAGGTATCAATCACCATGAGAAGGTCTTTTGGGGGCAGTTCGCAGCATCTGACGCCCTTCACAATTTCCTCCTTAGAAATTCATTTTTGAAAGTAGAATACGAAAGGAATGGCAGAAATGAAGAAAGTTTAGTTTTTGTGACTTTATGAGTACTTTAGTTTATCTAAGTGAGTTTCTTTCGGAAGTCGCTCTCTTTGAAGTTTGTTAATGTTACCAAATTGTTTAAACTGAAATCCCAGGACGGAATCTTTCAGGTGACTTAAGACAGAGGAGGGCAAATCACTTTGTACAGAAACTTGAAAAAAGCATGTGCCAGCCAGAATTCATGAATTTTATATGGAAAGGCCGTGTCCGTTGACTGTTTCCTTAGATACATACGCAATTAATTGACTATGAACACATAAAATCATTTATATGACTAAATGTCTGAGATATTTAGCCACTGAGTACATAGAGTTGGGACTGATTAAGGATTTGTAGGTGATCGAGGGAGAGTAATGACACACCTTGCGTGACCAAAATTCTTCTCCTTAGCTGTCTAGGTGAGTGCAAATTCAGACCAGATTTCTCTATTGACTTTGACTGCTTGCGGCTTTGGAATAAGTTATAGATCTCTCAGCCCGAACTAAAGCTTCTTCGACTTTTAACTCGACCAATTTTGCAACGCCCTTTTGCTGAAAGCGAGAGTGCATTTCGGAGGTTAAGATTGCTGCTGCTGCTGCTGCCTTCGCCGCCGCCGCTGCTCTGTTACAAAATAAAGAATATTAATCAATTAAAAAGGGGGGTTGATCTGTGGCACACTATTCCAAAGTCTCGAGTCTTTCAGAGCATTATCCCCTACAATACTTCACTTCTGATTTTCAGCGTTCATATTTGGATGATGCTGCCAGAAGTCTTTATTTATTTCTCCCCTTTGTTGGAAATCAACTTATGACGAGCGTTAGCCTGATGGAGGTCATCCTTCACCGACCTCAGCTTAAAAGAATACCCTCTTTAAGATTATGGACTCGGCAAACATCGCAAGATTTTAACAACCTTAGACATATCTAGTACTTAATTATAGTACAGGCAATATGTTAAATGGAAATGAAGTCCATGAGGGATAATCACATACCTTAGCAGCAGTTATAATGGCATTATTTCGCAATACCCCAATTGCTTCTAGTTTGCCTATCTTTTCAAATTCCAATAGGCATCAGGCCCAAATCAGAAATCACCGTTATATCAGTCAGCATATACGCTTCTTGCACTGACCCATGCGTGGTTTCTGAAAATTCGGTAAATCTAAACTAATTTGCTTCTAGTTTAAATTTAAAAAACATGGGTTGCAAGGAATCAGCCCGTAGGTTTTCCCCGTTTTGTTGGATAACCATATAATTCAAGCAGTGTTTAATTTCAAAAGATAGACTGAATCTATCCCTCTCGAATTTCTGACAGCTGAGAGGGCTTTATGAAGACATCTATCCGGTAAGCTTGCTTAAGTTCTATCGATACTTTTTCTGGAACACCATATGGGAGTTGAATTTAAACTCCTTTTTTTCCAAGCTATTTTAGTGGGTACTCAATTATTTAAAAAAATAATCAGCAGAAAATGCACTCTTATCCGATAGGCTGTCCAGAACATCAAAGGCAAGTGAAACTTGGGGTTTTAAGTGAGCTGTTTAGACTGAAAAATAAAAAAGCTAGCAAATTACAATTTTCCTGACTGAGTAGAAACTGCACAAGGTATAATAAAAATGGACGTAAGTGACTCTGCCTGTATTTGCCGCTTAATAACTGCTTTGTTTGTCTAAGGAGAGGTACAAAAATATAAAATGGATTTCGGTCTCCAAAATGAGGGTAGTAACAATAATAAAGTAAAACGCGATGTTAGTGATGGTAATATAAGACAGGAGGAGGGGGAAGAAGAAATTGGCGAGGACGGTTACAGATATTTTCTAGCTATTGCAAAAAGACGCCTGTAAGAATGAGAACAAAGTTTGACGTACCACGGTACTTGTGGGAGCATCATTTGGGTCATTCTTGCAGACTGACGTTTGCGGAGGCAGGCTGACCCCAGCTTTGAGACTCTTGGAGCCAATGTCAATCAGCCAGGCCTTAGAAATATGTCTCGTGGCAAGGAGACTAGAGGCAAGAAGTAGTTCTGTGCCACTTAATTGACACATGTCTTGCGTGGACATTAGATTACCGGTGGTCCTAGGTGTTACGGACTGCGCAGTCCTGTCACACGGTGCTCGTCCACACTAATCAAGATATCCTTAATATTTTCCAACCCGACTTCTAGAGGACCAGATACTCTGCTCAAAGATTTATATAAAGTTATAGGTCGACGCTCATCTCTTCGACCGCGAGGATTTCGGCCAAGTGGCTGTTTGTACGTTAGTGTTTCAGAGAATAAGTTATTTGTGCCGCCTCCCGCATTGGCATGCAGCGCATCGTTGCCACGAGTGACTGTTTCCAATATGCGTGACCTTGACAGACATTGCACACTTTAGAAAACACTTGGAAAGCACGCGCCATTCAAAGTCACATACAAGCAGTTTTGCGCGTCTAAACTGAATCTGAACATGTCAGGGTAATATTCAGATTGGCAAGGTTAACAGATCTGAACAGATGTTTTGATCCATCAGAGTAATAATCACTTTTTTAACGCTTTCATTTGTAATCCGACTTTAGCGGCGGCGGGAATGTATGCTACAAATGTTATATGTTTAAAAAAGCATATTTTCAGAAATCACGCTGGAGATCTCTGCCGCCAGAGGTGGTTGTGCGCCTACGTATCCTTAAAAATCAAAACGAAAGGAACGCTATGTGCTCCGTAAGTGCACTTACGATGCGGCTTATTCACGACTGTTTTGCTTGTCCCATTAAAAACTTTTCACGTTTTCCACAAAACATAAAAAGCAATTTTTTAGCATTAGAAAGCAACACTCTCTTAGGGAACTGGCAAGCCTTTGCAGCGCTTGCAACTATACTGTACTCTTGATACTCAACCTGCAGTTGTAGCAAGATTGTTAGCTTCCTTATTTTTCCAAAACGGGATGATGGAGTTATGAGTTAGAAGAAGGTTAAGCCTCAGAAAACCGTGATAGCAGTCATAGTGAAACATCACAAACGAAGTTATGCGACAACTCAAGTGACGATATCCACTCTTACCCAATGAGAATGGCGCGACCGTGACGTGCGCGTGACCTGTTCAGCAAGAAGCAAAATTTGCAATGAATCAATCTCAATCATTGTGTTTCTGTGAAAAAATACATTCATGGTAAACAAAGGGCGGGCATGCACCCGATGGCTGACAAAGTTAAACAGCCTCTGGCACGGTCCCTGGCTACATATGAAACAGACTTCATTCATCGGAAGTGAAGAGGGCCATAATTTCCGCAACAGGAAGTAACCACTTCTCTATGACCCTAGTTCTAGTGTTTATTGGCCACTTTCCACGCCGCCACTCTTAGCGCGTCGTGAGGGAGTCAGGTGCGTAGGAGCAACCAGAATCGGGAATATATTGCGTTAAAAAATATGGATCTTTCCTGAGTTTCGGCCTCAGCTTACCTCATGGCAGTAGATGCGGTCCCTCACAATCTCGGCCTTTTTTGTCAAGCGCATGTCCTGGACCATTGTGGTCCCATATTGGCGCAGCGCCGCCGTATTGTTGGGAGCGCCGTAAATGTCACAAGACCGAGTTAGGGCCATAATTTACATACTGAATGTCAACAGTCAAAATTCGTAAAGAAAAATTGCAGGAGTTTATCAAGCACATATAACTATGATTTTCAGTTAACAAATGGGAAGGCTAGATTTGATCGCTGGACCCCTACTCGACTGTTTTTTAAATTCATCCTCAAATCCATCATTCGTGACAGAAACATGAGCACGAAATTCCCGGAACAGAACGGAATTCTCAGCGTCCATGCCATGTTTAGGCAACTGCGACTGCGGTGGAGCGGCCACTCGGTGAGGATGGACGATGTGCGATTACCCAAAAGACGGATGCTAAAAGGGCTCTCTGAAGCGACTGCAGATCATCCGGGAGACCTGGAAGGTTCTGGTTCAGGACAGAGCAGCCTGGGGAAAAGCTGTGAAGACTGGCGCGCCAATCTACAAAAAAAAAGGATTACCGCCGCCAAAGCCCAAAAAGAAGCTCGCAAGATTTAGGCGCCCTGACATACAACATCGTGACTCAGTCGCACTCAATATGCCCCCGCAGTCAACATTCCGCGCAAGGATCGGCCCCGTTGGTCACCTTCGGACTCAATGCAATAATCTCGCGACAACCGCAATTGCTGCCTCCACGATCGCTCCTGTCCCAACCGCCGCGCCAACCACGACGACGCACATTCTCACTAACGCTGTTCCGAATCCTCGTATCCCAGCGCCGTCGATCACCGCCACTCCCATAATCTCTGCCAAAATCACCGCGGCGACAACGAACACAACCACCTCTACCACGCCAGCCAATGACCATAACGATCTTGACGTCCGGCCAACCGCCAACACATTCAGCATCACCACGTCCACCTCCAACGATGTGGGCTTGGTCCAAACTTCTCCTCATCTCAATCGCACATCCACCTAACGCATCAGCATTGTCGGTCACACAGAGACTGGCAAAGAAGCGCCCGGAGACCTGACATAACCCTTACACCCGCTCCTACTGACAACACTGTACTATACCCCATTGACTCATCGCATGGGCCTATTCAGTCACATGCGCACCCAAGAAGGCAAAGCTAACCTTACTACTGACACCCAAACACACCCTCTATACCGAAAACGCTCCCATATCCGACGCTAACAACTCCCACCCATCAGCATGACTACGACTCAATGACCCTGTCCCAGACAAATTTACAGCCTCGAACCGATCATGCTTCATTGCCACCGCATTTTACATCACGTACCGGCCTGACCGATCACTTGCGGATCCGTCGCACTGCGACTGGCGAGCCAGTGCCAGGGGTACCAGCATGCAGCCGCTATACTCGCCTTAACCGTCCAAGCTGTCCACGCGTATTCACTTACCATATGGGTCTATCAGGTCACATGCGCGTTCATAGAAACCTGCGGCAAATCAGCGTAAACAAGACCACATCACCGTGCGTTCCCGCAGCTACTCATTCATCACGCGTATACCCCTGAAAAACCCCACATCATCGGCACCTCTCACGTAAGTGGATAGTGTGCGTTTCAGCCCCTTTCATCGGTTAGTTTCTCTACTGCATGTGAGATCTGAGCGTTCTATTCCCCTTGTGTGTGAAATCTTAGTGTGTGCATTTAGGGGGGGGGGGGCTGGCCCTACACGTGACGCACGCAGACGAGCTCTCTAGCTCTATCGGTTACTGCGCCCATCCGCCAAACCAGACAAATTACCGGCTCGGAAATGGGAATGGGAATAGAGAGTGAGGTGTCGAGTACTCAGTGTACTTTCCTCATTATAAATAATTTGACGAGCTTTAAGCTACCACGAGGCACTAAAAGCCATGGCTTGGAAGGTTGCCAACTGACGGGCTAACTCGGACCTCGCAGTCAGCCCACTGTGTGTTCATGTGGAGTGGCCGACTAGTTGTTTAAGAGTCAGGCTGCAATGGTTTTTTCTTAATGTGGCCTCTATGGCACTCCCACTCCGTGGGATCCGAGACAAGTTTGACGTCACACCTAGGCGTGGCGCCGACTGCTGCAGCCCCCCGCGGTCTCTCCCACTTCCGATCATTCTGATTATGTCTTGACACCGGACCCAGTTGAGGGAGGAGGGAATGCGGTAGATGCTGTGCAAGTCTGCCTTCACTACAAAATAGTTCACGCCTGGGTCATCGTACCTACTGTCACCCTGCAGTGGCGCAGTTGGTGGACATCGTCGAAATCGACGGTCAAACTTCCAGTTGGTTAGCCGTCGGATCATGCGCGACCTTCAGTAGCCGGTAACGCGCGAGGATCGTTTATGCGGACGTTAGAGCTCAGCCAATAGGAACACGATAATGAGTAAGGATATAGCTCTTGAATACGACGCCATGAGCAAAAGGACTGAGAGTTGATGTGCACCCAGCGGTTTTTGCAGTACAACAGCCCTCTGTCATCCTGCCTCTGTTCCACGCAGCAACTGGCGTCATACTACTGGGAATATAACATAGTGCGGCTTTTACATAACCTATAATTTAATCATGCGGGTTCTTCCATAAAAAATACAGACGACTTTCGTTGTGCCCCACTGGGCAGAGCCCCTTTCGATTGATTGTAATACTTCAGTTGTAACATTACAAGGTGATTTAATGCATTGCTTTAAGGATTTCAGCGGGTGTTAGGCTCGCATAGTAGCGTTGACAAACGTACTGCGCCAAAGCAGCCCGCCGACTTCAGTTTCTTTCCAATCAACAGGAAGGCAGTGCAACGTCACGTTGACTGGTACATTTGTCTATAATTGTGGAAGTAGGAGGATAACACGGGTTATCTGAGTGCACAAGGGTCTTCAAATGCTAATGTTGGAAATGAGTCCATTCACGTTAGTAGTTAATTTCTGGCGGAAAACAAGACCAGGGTGAGTTGCCGAACGCTCATGAGAAAAGTTATTAAAAAATTGGGAGTGTATAGTGTTTGCGGTCGGGCGATCGCCTTAGAGACTATGACCGATGGCTTTAGCATTCAATTCCAGGCAAATCGTTGTCGTCCTAAAACAGTAAACTGCGAAATATTCCTTGCCAGAAGCCCTTTAGCTCTCAGAATCCAACATCTATGGGCAACAGTATGGAGAAGGACCCAACTTTAGTGTCCGTAGACTGTGGATCGTGTCTTGAGTGACTGGCGATAAGGAGAGTTTTAGGCATGGGGCAGCGCACTAGACAGTAAGCTGCCGAGACACGAGAAAACACATAAATTGTTCAGATTCCTCATGAAATGCTCATTATACGCTTACGCACGATAACTTAAATGAACGCGCTATTTAAAAATAAACAAAAAGTAACTTTCGAGAAATAAAGGAGTTTGAGTGATGGTTTGAAGTCATGGGAAGTGATTGTTATTGGCAGTGTAATGTCCACAAAGGCCTGCGAATGGATGCCAAATTAAATCCCTATGACGTGATCCACGGTCCCCCGTCAGTTAAGCGGAGTCCTCCTCCATACCGCTGCCCATTTATGATATGCTAAAGCTGTCTTTAAAACTGCCTTGGTGAAAAGGGATTTCTGCGACTTTAAAATTAAATGCATTCGTCTAAGTCAACTAGTACTGGTCAGTCACTGCAGTTGCAGCAAATAACAGAAGCTAGTGAAAACTTCATTTAAGCGCATTTTTCCCTGATTCATTTACTACGCCGATTGCAACCTAATTGCGGGTTTGTCTTAGTTAGGACTGACTTATTTACGAATTACTCGCTTTAACTTATATGACATATTCTGTAAAAAGTTTGTGATTTTTCCCTGGCTTCAAGTTAACGCATAATTTTACCGAATTTTTAAAGTTTTCAAATCAGGTTTCTTGTTTTTAGTGTTGGACAGCCAACGCTGTCTCTAGAGATTCCATAACACATAGTACTATTTTCTATTTATTGTGATATGTTAGATGCAAAAAACGATCTTTCTAATCCCATAGTTAAAACGGATGCTCAAATGGACGTTCAAATGGTGAAAGTCAGGTGGCATGCTGGTAATACGGCCTGAAAATTAGTCCCCTGAGTAACAATTCGGCGCGTAATTTTATCACTAATGTTGTCTTTTCCAGAGGTATGTCATCTCTATTCAACGTAGCTCTTGGTACTTGTTCCGATATGCACTCGAAATGGTGTCTCAAAAGCAGTGTGTCACTAACATAAAAGTCTGTAAACATCTGCTATGCCAGGATCAGCAAACGATGGCCCTCGCTGCCTAGTTTACACTGGCAGTTCTCTGACACCTGGTTCCCTGCTGGTAGATGCGCTTGCGCTCCCGCTAGTTATACCCAGTTATCCTCGTCATATTTCTGACCCGTTGTGGTGTTGCTGTTGTTGGCTGAAATCCTGGTCAAGTGTTTGCTGTAGATCAGGGGGTGTGGTGGCACGCCTGTATGCGGGTGCGGCCGTGACAGCTGCCCAGACCCTCCCCCACCTCCGGTCTTCCCAAATATGTCTTGAAACCGGGCCCAGGTGAGGAGGAGAGTACGCAATAGATGCTGCGCAAACCCGCTCTCATTATAAACTGATTCACGTGCAAGCCACCGTACATACTTCATCTCGTTGTGCAGCACACGGTGGACATCGTCGGCAACGACGGTCGAACTGCTGTGTCACGAACATTTCGATCTAAGCTTCGTTGTGACTCTAAGCCCACATCGAAGTACGATATCGGCCACATAGAAAAGGGGCATAAAAATCAGAGTTCATACGTGGTGACAACTTCTGCCAACGACAGTTATTTAGACAACGGTAACAGCAACAACTGTCAAGCAAAATTGAGACGGGTAATACGTTGTCAAAGTGTTTTGCTGACCAAATGAAGAACGCATGACAAGAAAGTGTTCTGAACAGTGAGTAATTTAGAAGTCAGAAGATATCGCACCTTCACTACATCTTCGAGTAAGCGCGTGTGAGGTGTGAAGGGGTAACATGGACGCTTCTGCGCACCAAAAAGCAAAACTGGCAGTTCCCGAGATGTCGCTCTCCTACCTTCCCGACAGATCGTAGACCGCACACCGACGCCGAGCACACTTCTCTGATGAATCCCATCAAAAAGTATTGGATACCTGATGAAGGCTGCCTCTCTAATTGGCCAAGCAACAACTAGTGACAGACCTCGTTGCACATAGTGAAATGAGAGGACATGCGCCTTATTTCAGTGATATGAATATTATCAGTTTTAGTGGTTCATGAACCAAACGTCTCAGACTGGAAGCCTCGTTCTGGACCGCAGACTTGACCAGTCAGTTTCTCCACCTCGCAGTATCCTGCATCCTTACTTAAAATAAGCTCGTAAAATTATGGAGGACGTGAGTGTCGCCCTTCCGGTCACTACGGCAAACTGGTGCTTGACGAATCCGCCACAGTGGATATTAATAAAGAGGAGGAGCATGTAGAAGTAACCAGCGAATTTTACAAACCGCCATCCCACGCAGGTACATATACAATGAACACCCGGTTAACTTGTAGTCTTTTCAGTATGTGATTCTGTCTAGTATACAGAAAAAGGAGGAACAAGCGTGATTCGCTATTTCGTCGAAAAAAATCATGCACTCTGACTTGGCGTTGTCTGTTGCGTCCCTAATATGACGAACTGTCTACCTCCCCGTTAATTCGCCATAAAACAATTTGAAATTACCAGCCGCACTATGCCATCCTCAACACCTCTATAATACAGTGCGTCACCAAGATGACGAACTGCCTTCCTGAATCCTATGCCAGTAACCCATCGTAGAGGCTTTTTGCCAATTTCCATCGATCTTTCCTTCCCGGTGTTTGCGCTGCCATGGAAACGAAGAGTCATCTTTCAAGTACAGGCATATATCTGTAGCGTTTCAATGCAGCAGCGCCAGGATCTTTGTCGACAGTCCGTCTCTACGAAACATAATCAACTGGAAATAACTTCACGCCAACTCTTTCCTTTTGGGACCCACCAT